GCTAATCATCACGTGACTGTAACTGGTGGTGGCAAGTTTTGTGCAAAGGGCTGTATTTCCTGTACTGTAATATCTATGGGCAGGATTTTATTTTAATTGTGGTTTACAAATTGTTTACACAGTCAAGTACTGCAGCTGTTTCACAGTTTACATAGATAAAACTAATTTTATACTTAACCAGATAAATTTTTGGGCCCTAAATCCGCCCGGCCCTGACTTCATTGAGCTATGAGGGGCATTTTTGTAAAACCTAGACCCTGGTAAAACAAAGACTCTAGCTGCGGAAACATAACATATTTTGTTTTATTCTAGACACTGAATTCAGTGTGTTAGATCTACGAATAGGAATGCCAATCATGAGTGACAAAGACCGACGGTCAACACACCCTCGCCTGACTACAACACACCTGCTCCCTCAGACTGAGTCATATTCGTAAACACTAGAAAAAGAAGAAGCATCATATTGTGTCGTGATGTGACTGATGTCCATGTTTTATTGAGCAAATCACAAATTACAGCCATAGTTCTCAGATAAAGGGATAACACCACCCCCCGTGCGGCTTTTGCAGAGCATGCGCAAAAGCCAAGTTTTATACTTGATCAGAATAATCTATTCATAATAAAACTAGCAACAATGATAACAAAAGATCAAATACCAGAAGGTTACGCATAAAGGATCAGTGTTATGATACTACCAAAGAAGGCAAAGTGTTTACCTATACTCTATTATTTCTAAAAAAATTAAAAATTTATTTCGTGACTGTCCACGACCATCCCCACCCGCCGTCATGGCCATGTTTAGATTATTATCGTACATAAATCTATGGTGTTTTTTGTTTGTCTAAATAATGCTCTACTTTATTGTATTGTCCAGCTTTGTTCTTTGTAAGTTTTATAGAGCTAGATAAATAATATTGCTTTATTATTTACTCCATAGATCTAGCAACATCATCAACTGCAGTGCCACTATCATTCAACCAGTCCTCTCCATCATATGATATTGTATGTCCTGGAGATACACTAGCATTCACTTGTATTACTAATGGAGGTGCTGTTGTATGGAGAATTAACAATGGTGACATTCGTATTATTTTAGCCAGTGAAAAAAATAAAACTGATCAGATTAACAGCTTCATCTTAGCCATTACTGATACTAATGCTAATGATACAACAACAAGTACTGCTACTAGTGAATCTCTTCCATCAGAACTTAATGGAACTGTTATTGACTGCTCTGGAGATGGACATAATTACAGTACACTAACGGTACACATTGCAGGTAAGATACATCATAAACCATATGTATCATAATACTGTATCTATGTATAGGTGTACCAGTATCAGTTATTAATATAAAGATATTACCAATTAATAACAATACAGTATTGATGAACTGGTACTATGAAAAGAATGATGAAGTACACTGTATTCAATATTATAATATTACAATAATCAGTGATGATAATATTAATGGACATATGATCAGTAATGAATCATCAACAACTATTCATTCTCTTATTATTGGTACTAATTATTCATTTATTATTATTCCTATTGATACTATTGGAAGAGAAGGACCTTCTTCATCATTAATACAGTATATATGGAATGGTAAGTACTATACACACACACACACACTCATTGTATTTCTTATAGTACCAGCTCAAGTTGTTAATATTAGTTGGGATCAGATATCAACTGATAGTATTACAATATGGTGGAATAACAATAAAGTATGTTAAGATATTATTAACTATAAATCATTATTATTAATAGGATGTTACATTACATTATCCTCCAGTACATTACATTGTTAGTGTACACAATATTACTATTAATACAACTGATAATAATGTAACTATTAATGGACTATATCCCAATAATGAATATACTGTATACATAAAACCAGTTAATGCTATTGGAGAGGGACCACTGATCAACATTACAGGTTTGTTTATTATAAACTGATGAGTATATTTAGTATATTGTGTTTTGTAATTTCATATAGTAAACATAACTAAGCTTCGGCATATTAATGACAATATGAATGTATCTATTTCGTCTACTCTAGCAATAACTAGTTTAGCTGTATATACTTCATTATCTGGTTAGTATAATAATTGAATAGCAGTGTACTTGAATGTAATTGATCTACATGTATTTTCATTAATACATGCAGTTACTGAAAGATCAGATATCACAAGCATAACATCAAAGATTATTGGAAACACATTTGTAGGAGCAAGTTCAAGTAGTAAAATGCACTCAACAGTAACAAGTTATGGAACACAGTCAACAGTTACAAGTACTGTAATGCCACCAAATAGTGGATCTATGATTTCAAGCTTATTGTTTTCAATTTTTGGTGCTATTGGTGCTATAGTAATTGCATGTATCATAGCAGTGATTGTAATTCTGGCCTGCATTATGTATAGAAGGAAAAGTAACAGTAAGTATGAACATCATGTGCTGCCTATGATTAATCTACTGCAGGTGTAAAGAAAAAAGAAAGGTGGTGAATTGAATATTATTTATTTATTTATTTATGAATAATAATATTTTAGGGATATAAATGATGACACAGAAGTTGAGGTAAATTTAAATTTTTATTTTACACATTAATACCTTATTTTAGTTGAGAAACACAAACAATCTACAATCGACTGGATTCGAGTTGTATGCAGTACCAACTGCTGGAGGACAGTCTATTGAAAGTAAGAATGAATGTACATGTATTAGAGAGAAGTGCATGGTAGAAGAGGAATATGTAGGGAGTACATGTTTATTGACAGTCCATGAAAGTAGAGCAATAACTCTCTCACTATTTACAAATAAAGCTATGCATTGTCTAGCATGAAAAACATCATTATGAAAGGGTAACATCAGTCATACTATATATTGTGTACATCCAAATGAAAAACAGCACTACAGCAGACTATAATGTATATAAACAATATACACTATAAGGTTGGGTATTGTTTGTAGGTCAGTACAGTGTCATTAGGAAAGGTGATATAATGGAATATGAAGAAGTACCTCCATCAATACCTCCTCAATATAATTACAAGGAAGTAATTATCATTATAATGTATGCACATTAATATTAATAATAATAATAATAATGACAGATAAATGATGAAGAGAATGGACAAAGCCCCATCTACTCTACAGTCAATGCAAATCAAGTGAGTATATTTCTGCTTATATAAGTAAGCCTAGATCAATGACATTAAGTGTAAATACAATAATATACCGTATAGCTAGAAATTTCTGTGGCCCAAAATTTGTGCTAGTTTTGCGGATTTGAAAAAATTGCAGAAATTTAATCCTCAAAATGTTGGTATGCAATTTATTGACCTATTTAAATTAAAAGGCATGGTGAATTTGCAATAATAAATCTGCAAAAGCTAATTTGATGGCAATTCGCATAAATTTGGGCCACAGAAATTTCTAGCTATACAGTATATATTAATTGTAGGTTAATAATGATAGAGAAGGTCTTGTTTATTCCACAGTAAATCAAGTACCAGTAAGAGAAAATATGTAATCCATGCATATATAAGAGCTTTGGGGGATCAAAACTGAGTTCATAGCTTAACTATAACCTATAGTGATAATACTATGAGAAGATTAATGTACTGTATGCTCTCGTATACTCTAATTTGGGAATCATTTCATTGTTTCCTCAAGAAAGCATTCCAAAGCATTGATGTACAAAATAATGTGTAAATTGGGAGATCACGATTGGAAAATAATGAAAGTGTTATTATGTAAACATTATAGTTACACAGTGTATATTGAAATGTTGTTAGGTTGAGTCAGCTAATAAGGTCCTGCTTTATGCTGATGTAATGATAATCCCTAGGGACAGTAGACCACAGTGTCCACCCACTAGTGTTCAACCAGTAACATATGCAGTGATATAACAGTAAGTATACCATAATTATACATGTATGTAAATTAATAGTTTAATGTATGTCTCTTTCTTTTTATAGTTGAAATTCCTTGCTGGTTCCAGGTTACAATATTTGCTGTAACATAAACTTTTTTATAATAATGTATTTTTAATTATTTTTAAACTTATTGTGTAGCATGTCTGAGTGTGCATTAACATCCATTAAACCATTAATTCTTTGATATATATCACTATGATAACAATCAGTCCACACTATACATTAGTGGTCATTATGTTAACTGCTAAACCAACTATATATTCCAGGAACTGTGCTTCCGGTTATTATGCAAATTCTAGGAATACTTAGTGCTTTGAGTTCTTGGAACAATACTGGTCTTTTGTGGGTGGGCTCACTAACAGAACTGCTAATAGTATAAGCTATACATTATTCATAATCATGGAGCAATGAATAGAACTATAGTATGCAACAAAGGAATAACTATAACTACATGTATGGGTGTGTCACAGCTCACAAGTGTGTGTGTGTGTGTGGTTGATATTCAAAGATGATTATTGTTTTCTTAATTTTGTTGTCAAGTAGTGTCAATGGTAAGTGGTTTCATCAATAATTCCACATCGTGGCAAGGTTCCATATATGACTATGTATTTGGCCTCGAACTATGAATAATTAATTAGCACTTTAAAGA